ACACACACACACACACACACACACACACACACACACACACACACACACACACACACACACACACACACACACACACACACACACGTTTGATTAATCAGCTGAGCCCACTGTAGGAAGATTTAGTTGTTCATTATCCCAGATCAAAACTCCAGGGGGGGGGGCTCATCTGGTCTGAGGATCAGCATCGGAAGCTTCTTGAGATCATCCAGAGCTCAGGATTATTATGTTACACAAACTTCTTGCTTGGTGGTACCTTTCCTATTAGCACTAGATTGTTTGTTTACTCGGTCAGCCTTAATTAGACAATTCATTCTGTGGCCTCAGGAATATTAGCTCGTTGTATGAGATGTGGAAATTGAGATTTAAAGGTGACCTATCATGCAAAATGCACTTTTGTACGTCTTTTCTACATGAATACGTGTCCCCGGTGTTCCAGGGAACTCACCAAGTGTCAGAAAACACAACCCTCTCTCTTTTCCTCCATACCCAAATCTCTTAAAAAGGGGCTGCAATGGATCTGATACAGACTGATCCAGATTTGAACACTTCTATGACGTCACAGAAGTGGCGCTACGGCTATTGGGCCAACTCCACCAATCAGGAGGAGACAGCCACGGACATTGCCGTTGGAAAGCGCTGGAGACGCTGTAGTACATATGCCAGGCCTGTGGATGGTGCTGCTCTCACAGAATCAGCCCATGCAAAGACAGTGTAACATTGAGCGAAATGAGGAATGGCTAAAATGCATGATCCGTTTGGTATTTTGAAAAATTAAAAGTATAAATGTGGTCCACTTTAATGTAAATGTGAACTATGTTTTCTAAATAGTTTTTCCTAGAGTTTCTTCTTTGTTAAATCANTGTAAATAACCCAATTTGTGTTCTGTGAAACTAAAAAGGATACAATATATTATTTTGAAGGCGAGGAAGTTGTTGTTGCTATGGAAACAACATGACGGAGAAAACTTAATATATTCTACATATAAAGACGGAGAAAGTAAAGAACAAAGTCGGAAAATATCAGTACAGTATCATAATACTTTAACATAATCGTTGGTGTTACTTTCGTTGCAGTTGTATGTCTTAAATGTAATGTAAATGTTACCTTCGTGAGTGGTTCGGGGCCATCTTCGTGCGAAATTCACAATTCCATATTCGTGTGTTCAACGGGTGTCAATTTTGGGACAGTGTGACAGGGGCTTTAAGCACAGTGCACTAAGGACATAATATGCTCACTTAGCAGACCATTTACATGCACAAAAACCTATAAAAGACTACAGGGAAGGGAAAACTGCAAAAGCATATTTAATTGAATTTAATGAACTTGTTGAGCTGTTTAATCACTTGTACTAAATACAGTAGTCTCGGCTCACAGTGTATGTTACATTTATTTTACCATATTCTGTAAATCCATTGTTCGAAAAACAAAACAATCAAAATCCGAAACAGGTTTATTGCCAAGTAGGTTTACATATTTGCATTGGCGTTAATGGGGCATGCGTAAACACAGTAAAAAAAACAATACAACTCAATTATCTCAAATACAAAAAATGTGATGACAATTACATTGCATCCTGGCTTATGTTAAAGTAATAATGAAAAAGTAATAAATCATTCAGCATGATTAGCTTGATCAGTATTTTGATCAGCAATACTTTTATTTGTAACAGAGTATTTTTTCATTTAGTATTGCAACTTTTATTTTTAATTCTGAGTACTCCTCCCTCCTTTTTCCGTCAGAGCTTGTGGACCCTCAAAACTTGTTGATAAATCCTGCGATTGGAGAGAAAAACAAACAAACAGAAACTTTTAAAATATGTCCTGTGGAACCTGTTTTCAAATACTTACAAGATAAAGACATACTGATAGATAAAAGTGAATATATTCACCTCTTGCTCCTTGATCCTGAAAAAGTTTTCATAAAATTAGTGAAAAGCTCCATTCTAAGAAATACTTAATTAAAACAAATGAAATTACATAAAATGAGCATGTGTAAAAATAATGCAGTTTTTTCTTATTTATCCACTTTCTTTTTTTTTATGTCATTTTCTCATTTATGTTCTGGTACTGCCCACCATGAACTCATAATTAGGATAACTGCTTCACCATATAACATCTACTTTTAACAGCTTGGGCTCTTTATGTAGGAAACTACAAAGCAGAGTCCTCCTTCTGAAATCTTAAAACTATTTATTTCCTTTACCTGGCCCTCTGTTTTTCCTTCCGTGGATCAATCGGCGTTCCAGCAACATCGAAACACTCTTCCCATTTTTCATCACAGATTTTACTCTTGATTCCTTCGGTCAACTTCTCTTTGGCTGAATTCCTCAAAACCTCTTCCAGCACATTGCCCTCCTCTATTATAATCAGTTTTTCATACAGAAATCTTTTGTTGTAACAACATGAAGGAAAGGAAAAGGAAGGAAAGGGGCCCGAAACTCACCAGGCGGGGGTGGCGGGGGGGCTTCAGTCGTCCCTCACCTCCACGCCGTTTCCCCCAGAGATCAGACTGATAAACCAGTACTGCCAGGCAAGGCAAGGGGAGTTCATTTATATAGCACCTTTCAACACAAAGCAATTCAAAGTCCTTTACAAAAATGAAAGACATTAAAGGTAGGGTATGTAAGTTTGAGAAACCTTTCATTTTTGTAAAGGACTTTGAATTGCTTTGTGTTGAAAGGTGCTATATAAATGAACTCCCCTNTTTACAGTCAGACCGAACCTTCGCGCACGCACTCGCGGACATTTCGTGCTGGTTAGTCAAGCGCGGCGGGCCGATTTTCATGACCCTACCGGTCTCTGGGAGGGCGGTGGAAGTCGGAAGGTAGACCACGTGTTTGAATACGACGCACCGGGGAGTAACCAGTACACGTTGCAGACACACACAACCTCTCCCCGACGACGACCTCCCTTTCCCCCGTCTCAAAAAGGACATTACACACATAAAAGTTAAGATCGCGTGAGCTTCGGCCCCCCCAAGAGTTTGAAGGCTGGGGGGGGAAATTCCAACAACTTTTGAACACTACCTGGTATCTAAGACAGTTTTTTACAATGTAAGTAACTGACTTTTTGATTATGTTTAAAAAAAGTAATGTTTTAATGACAAACACAGGGAGAGATAAGACCAGACCTTTAGGTCGTTTACAAACAGTGTTTTGAGCTGACGAAGAAGGTAAGTGAAGTCGAAAGCAGGACGATGGTGTCCGGAAATGTATCTAGATGGACGAAACAGTTTCGAGTATTTTCTTATCCGAAGGGGAGTAGATGTTAACGTGTTTGATTCAGCACCGTTCGGACTCAGCGCTTTTTAGTTTCATGTAAATTTTTGGTGGACGCCTTAAACTAATCCCTGCAAAGGTCCGACGTGTGAATCAAACCAACGTTAAACAAGCCGCAAGCTTCCGCTTCGGAAGAAATACTCGACAACCCTTCTCCTTAGAACATTTCACACACCTCGTCCTCGATTTCCTTCACTTTACCCACTCCTCGTCAGCTGCAACACCTAATTTGCTAAACCGACCCTCCAAGTCCTGGCTTATATCTCTCCCTGTGTTGCCATAAAAAACAATTATTTTTTTAAACATAATCAAAAGGCTCAGTTACTTTACATTTGTAACAAACCTGCTAGATACCAGGGAGGGTGTTCAAAGAATGTGGGAATTTCCCCCCGCAAGCCACTTCAAACTCTTCTGGCCGAAGCTCAACGCGAATCTTAAACTTTATGTGTTAATCCTTTTTTAGAAACCGGGCCGAAGGAGGTGTCCTCCGGGGAGGAGGTTTGGTTGTGTGCTGCACTGTACTTGGTTACTCCGTGCTCAAATCAACCGTGTCTTCCTTCCTGGGTGACTGTCCGTCCCCATCCGTGGTCAAGAAACGGCCGGGCCGAGTCTACTTACCAGCACGAAAATTTGTGAGCGCGATGCCGAGTGTCTACCTGTAAAAAAAATAATTACCTAAAAAACAGTTTCGTGAAGTCTATAAGTAACGATAGCCCTACAATTCTCGTAAGGTACCTTATATTGTTTCACACAGAGCTCGGCCAAAGAGTTTGAATGGATGGGGTGGAAATTTAGGACAAACACTAACTGAAACGTGAGCTTGTGTAGCAACTAAATTAACAAATTAACCTAGTTGTCTTTTACTTAGGTGTTTATGAAACATGTAATTATTAAATATTATTAAGTAATTATCGACTAGAACTCTACAGCCTCGTTAGATGTATTAAACTGTAAAGTATCTGGCTGGATAATTAAGACATTTAGAAAAATTGAGAAAGTCAGTAATTCGCTTTACTTCACTTAGTGGTCAACGAATTCAAACGAGGTAGTACACCCAACCCCAACTAGTAATATTAGTGAGAATACAATACGAATATCACTTTAGGTCGTCCAAACGGGGCGTGACTAAGTCGTGATACGAATCAGAGAAATTCTTCACACCATTCACAAAAACAACCTTTCGCAGACATTAGACATCTGACGTCTCTGTGTCTTGTCTGGCCCTACGTCTCGTTAGCGAACTCAAGGACCGTCACACTATGGTTCCCGAGCTTATAGACTAAAAATAAAAAAACCCGAAGAGAACTACTAGGCAACGTGTCGTTAACAGACCGAACAGTGTAGAACCGATTTCGTTAATCCGACTGACCTATTTCACACACACCCCCCCCCGCTCAGATGACGACGAACCAATGATATCTTCATAAAGACTCAGTACTAGTCCAGCGTAACAACGAATAACCTCAAAAAGCTTTACTCTTAAAAAGGACTTTACTTCGTCCTTTAATTTTGCGATTCTATTCGGTAAAAAAAAGAAGACAGGAGAAGTAGGTTTCGGAAGTGTGTCAGTACAGGGTAACGATGAGACGTCTGCGAGTGTTCCACTGTCCGTAAGTGTATAAATTAAATAGATTCACAAGTCTCTTTTATTAATGGATTTTTTGTCAAAGCACTTCAGATATTCATTGCTATCGGGATGTTAAGAGCATTCCATGGAATATAACAAAGTGTGTCTCGAGCCGGTTTCTCAAACTTACCTACCCCACCTTTAAATCCTGTTTGTGATTGACTTTGCACTCGAACACATCGTTGATTTAATTGTTTAATTGGATCAACAGAAAATGAATCCACAAATACTTTGTACATTAATAATTTATAATAATTCATTAATAGCTGATCTTGAGATGTCGGAGCAATCTACATAATTTGACATTTCATAGACCGACCTATTAATTCTGTAAATCTTTTTAACTCTTTCAGTCATTAAGCGAAATGAAGTGAATCACCAGTTGCTTAAGTTTGCTCCATCATGTGGGTTGGGGTTGATCATTATAATCACTCTTATGTTATGCTTATAGTGAAATCCAGCAGGTTTGCCCCGCACTGATTCAGCACTATGCTTAGTCTCTTTAAGAAGTGTGGTAAGTGTTTTTGTTGGAAAGCGTCTGTAATCTGTAGACTGCAGAGACACAGAACAGACCGGGATGCAGAGCAATCGCTTGAGTTCCTGGCAGTGTGATACCAAGGGCTCGAATATCTGATTTTTATTTTTTTGGGCTTCTCTTGATGATCCGTTGCACAGCAATTGTCTGGCTTGTCACATCTTGGCTAAAGCAATTAGGCTGACTGGATAAAGTGTGTGTGGGGGGGGCGAGTCTACTGCTGCTTGGTTACTATAGAAGTATTTCTGAGTCATGATCAGGTCGCATTGTTGCTTATTGGAGTTTTTCGAAATGAGAATTTTTCCTGAAATGAAGCAGGAAATTAAAACGCTAAGATAAGCCATTTTTTTTCTTCTGTCCTCTTCATCCAAAGCCTTCACACAGTCATGTCCCATTGCTACTCTGCAGACGCTCACAAGGTGACAGGCATTCACATATTTAATTTATCTAAGTGTTCAGAGAAAATATGCCTCTATTTTTTTTCCCCCAAAGAGTTATTTCACGTCTTTTGAAAACGAAAGTGGCTCTCCTCTCAGCGGTGGAATGTGACATGCATACCTTCAGAGACGGACCCGACTGCATCTCATTTCCAAACTTTCCAAAAATAGCAGAGCCGTTTGACCTTGTTCTTTGAAAAGTTGACCAGGTCCCATCGGTGCCCGCGCTGTGCGCACTTTGAATCTACCGCAGGAAGTTAAAGTCTGCAGGTGAAAGGTTCAGTGATGGTTTAGGAAACTCAGAGTGGATTCCCAACTCTCCTTCTCCCTAAGGCTCTTTATCCGATTTCTTATGCATGCACCCTGTGCTCTGCAGATATGAATTGAGGCTGATTTTCTGCAAACACTCAGCATACCCCAGCGCTTAAGTCTGGCATGTGTTACATTTAGAATATGCAGCAGTGGCTTTTCTTTTAAGATGTAACTCCCTGTGCGTGTATGAAGTGTTTTTACCTGGGTGAAAGCATTCAGGGTTGGTTTCCGGCTGTATGTAATCTTTATTAAGCCGCCACGTTATTATTTATCTATATTTTTAGTGGTCACCATATGTGCGGTGGATACTTGGCTCGGACATGGTGTAAGATAAGTCTGCCCGCCTACACTTAGCTTGGTCATTTCCCTCCGCTTCTCAGAACTCCAGGCTCGTTTCCATCGAATCAGGCTATTTTTAAACCACTCTTTGGGGAGAGAGCGCGGGGGTTTATCGGGGGGTTTCAGTTAGTGTCGTATGAATCCTAACTGGGCAGCGGTCCAGGGTGAGTAAAACACACCTCCCCCATCTGTACTGTATACTATAGAGTGAGTGTGTGGGTCAGTTTATTAACCATGTGTGGACTCACCCCTGCAGCTGTGTGAGTGAATCAGAGAGGAGGCATGTGGTGAGGAAAAAAATAATTGATTTTTCAACGATGCGTCAGGAGTGTTTCTTGAACTCAGCATTGATCCAACGAAGTCTCTGTATCAAGTTTTCCAATTACAAAAAATATTTTTAGTGATGCTTATTTAGGTTTTTAGATGTTCTTTACCAAATGCTGACCTTCAATAACAGATTATTAACAGCTAACGGATACGTTTAGTGCTCTGCGTGCAGAGAGGTGCTAGGTTAGTGCACCAAACAAGCCACAAAGATAACCAATTCATAAATCCATATATATCGACAGCTTCAGTTGATAAAACAGGAAACAGTGTTCCCAGTTCATTGACTGACCTTTGAGGAGGGACAGCCTATTGCCATTTTAGTGACAAGCTGCTTCTGTCAGCTTTTATTTATACGTTTTTAAACTCTTTAACTAATAGCGTTATTCCAAAAAAGAAATATACTTTCAGCCAACAGTTGCAATATTGTTATTTGACATTGCTGATTATTTGTATTATGTACTTCTTCATCAAAATGGGTGTAAATATCTGAGAGGAAGGTCACAGCTTCAAATGTCTTCTTTGTCTCATCTAAAATAGAACTATATTTATTTAACATTATTTGAATCCTCTAATTGAAGAATCTGAGAACCAGAATAAGCAATTATTAGTTATCATCACTTTTTAAATGACTAATTTGTTTCTCTATTGACTAGTCTGTAAATCCACTTTTCATTCAGCACTAAAGCTAACACATGTTTGAGGCGATAATAAGAAATATAATCGTTGTTTTGATGCACCAAAGAAATGTCTCTGCTTTCCTCATAATGGATTTAGATGGCTCGGTTATAGTGAATGTGGTGACGAAGCCTATGGAAGTGAAACATTTCTAGTGTCACATTTGAAGAGTGAGTCACCTACAGGTGTCTGTGTTATAGTGCTTCAGTTATTTATGTTGTGATATACAGAGAGTTTTCCATATCTGATCATCAACACGGCCATTTGTTATAGTTTATCAAGTATCTGCTGTATATGAAAAGCTGATAAAGCTGTTGGTCCAAAACGTATTTCAGAATCAAACAAAGCTCCAAACATGAGCACCATCTTGGATTAATTGCTTATGATAATTGTGCATCCGTGTGTGTGTGTGTGTGTGTATGTGTTCAGTGATGTGGATGACTGCTCAGGGCTGGTAAACATGTTCATTAATTCACTCCGAGGCTGTAAACTTATATCCTCAAAGAGCGACACACAAACACAACAAATCCCCTCCAGCTCCGTCACACGTGTCACTTCCTGAGTCCGGCCAATGGAGCCATGTTGGCTGTTTGATCCCTCTTCATTGCTTTCCTTCCTCCACCGTCCTCTTCCTCCCTGTGGGACTCTTTCTGGTGACTGACGGTGTGAAAAGCAACTTGGTGGTAAACAAAGCCCCCCCGCCCCCCCCTCCCGCCCAACCATGCTATTGCTTTGATGTCACATCTCGGAGACAGGTGGCTGGGTGAAAGTAATGAGGGGCCTACACTCACATTTTCACTCTGAGGCCAGTCTGAGGCTGACAGCAGGTCTGAAGCAGGTCTTCCGTAGCGAGGTCTTCCGTAGCGAGGTCTTCCGTAGCGAGGTCTTCGGTAGCGAGGTCTTCAGTAGCGAGGGCTTCGGTAGTGAGGTCTTCCGTAGCGAGGTCTTCCGTAGCGAGGTCTTCCGTAGCGAGGTCTTCCGTAGCGAGGTCTTCCGTAGCGAGGTCTTCAGTAGTCTTCAGTAGCGAGGTCTTCCGTAGTGAGGTCTTCCGTAGCGAGGTCTTCCGTAGTCTTCCGTAGCGAGGTCTTCAGTAGTGAGGTCTTCCGAGTTCTTCAGTAGCGAGGGCTTCAGTAGCGAGGGCTTCAGTAGCGAGGGCTTCAGTAGCGAGGGCTTCAGTAGGGAGGGCTTCAGTAGTGAGGTCTTCAGTAGCGTAGTGAGGTCTTCAGTAGCGTAGTGAGGTCTTCAGTAGCGAGGGCTTCAGTAGGGAGGGCTTCAGTAGCGAGGGCTTCAGTAGTGAGGGCCATAGTAGTGAGGGCCGGAGTAATGAGGGCTTGTTGCTGCAGGTGCCCAGAGGATTGAAATGTCAGGGAGTCCAGTTTGAAGGCTATCAGACCCAAACACACGGCACGGCTGTTCATGCAGCTCAGAGGCAGGATTTTACCACTTTGCATTGTTTGCATGATGGGAGAAACTCTGACTAGGGTTGCACGATTTGGACAAAATAACTGATACTGATTATTTTGAAGTTTTGCAATGGCGATATCATTCCCAATTGTATTGTTGCATCATGTTCATTGAAAGATATACTTAAACTGATTATATTGTGTTTTTCTTTCGTACCAAATAAAGATATTTTATTAAGTTCGTAGAATATAGTTTGTAAACCATGATATCTTTGCGTCGCCACAAAACCTTTATAAATAATATTTACACTTTTTCGCCAGTAACACATATTGTGGCACCAGCAAACTGAATATTGCACCAGTGAAATTGAGATTTGTATTAGTTGAGTAGTCCTGTTGCTGACAAAATACATTTTTATAATAATATTGCGCCAAAATTGTAGTGTTGACTTTTTGTATTTTCACTAAATAATCATATTTATTGATAAATAGTCACTAATTGGGAAAAAGGCTAATTAATAGAACAGTTACAACAATATGGTGAATTCTGAAAATCAACGTCACTTTACTTGAATGCAGCCTTTAAAACCAGGGAAAGATGATAGTTATTGAATATTATAATACAATATCCAAAAACTCATATGATAGATATTGATGTCTCATGAGAGATATTGATTTCTCATATGATAGAAATGTATTATGTTGTTAATGAATTAAGACCCTTTGCATGTATTCGACCAATGTGCAGTCACACAGAACCACGGTGATTCATCCATCCATCCTTCTTCTCCCGCTTATCCGTGGTCGGGTCTCGGAGGTAGCAGTTCCAGAAGAGAGCCCCAAACTTTATTTTCCCTGGCCACATCAACCAGCTCTGACTGGGGAATCCAAAGGCGCTCCCAGGCCAGCGAAGAGATATAATCCCTCCACCTGGTCCTAGGTCTACCCCTTGGTCTCTTCCCAGCTGGACGTGCCTGGAACACCTCCCTAGGGAGAGGCGCCCAGGTGGCATCCTAACTAGGTGATTCCATTCACGAAAATGCAACAACGGCCATTATTTTTGGATACGTTGCCATCTTCTTACAATCCTTCCTCCTTACCGCGATATAGGCAGGTATAATGTGTCAGATTCCCCCCTGAGTCTGAGCTGGTCTGTGGGGCATGCAGTCCGATGTATTAAAAAGTTACCCACAGCCTTCACAGTGTGTTGCTCTCTGCTGTGGGGAAAGTTTTACTCAAACTAACTTTTTTTTCCTGGAGGATGCATCACGTTGAAAAAGTCAATGATACTCAGTGGTCACTTTTTAAAAATCTATAGCAATTCAATAGCCATGAATATCAGTTTTTTTTTATCAGTTTTATATATTTTTTCTTTGGGATGTTTTCAGGGAAATGTTATGTTACTTACATAGTTAAAGGTTATGTTTGTATTGTAATATTCAGGGACTGACAAAATGAAGTTTACATATTTATAAAGCTACACTTTAAATACCCAGAAATAGTCCAATATCCTAAATGGCACACTGCGCTTTGTGAAGTCGAAGGGAAGCCTCTATCCAACCGAACATGCAATCAAAGACAGATGGTGACTCCCGAATGTCAGAAATAGTAAATTCTTCCTATTGTCCTGCACCGAATCAAGCTCTCACTTGTTTGAAAGCGTCACAGTTCCTCATTAAACCCAAGTCACTGCATCACTGGCATGTCAGAAAGAAATGTGGAATTACATTTAATCAAATCTCTTGTGCAAGTTTCATTGACTGTCTAATGGAAATCATGAATCATTCAACCAGCACCAGCACCCCCACCGTGATCTGGCGCACTTCCTGCAGCGCGCCCCACTGTCAAAGCCCCTCTGATGTGAAAATTAAATGCGTGAAAGACACAGAGAGACTGACTGCTCGGAGCCCAACATGTGCCGCTGACACAGGTCAGTTACCGGGACGCGGCGGTCCATTCACCGGGAAGATCTTTTTAATTACTCTATGTTCTTTTAATTAACCATCCAGCATAATGTCAGTGTCCATTTGTCACCCCTGCTTTGCTCAGGCGGAGCCGGGTGAATATCCTCTTTTGTCCCCTCGCGCTTCCAGAGGTCCCGGCTTCCTATTATATTTCCTCATTCACTGAGATGTATTTTTTTCTTCTCCTCTTTTAGATTAGCATGATAATACCCCACGGAGCAGAGGGAAGGTAGTGAAGGGCTATTGCAAGACTGCTCATCAGATTCACTGTGTGCAAGACCGTGGTTATTATCATACTGAATGCACCATCAGTTAAACTAACAGCCTGAATTCCGACATTTATCTCCCATATCATAGACCGACTGTCAATTGCATAGAGAAGCACAATGGCAAATGATGGGTTATGTCTTGCTCCTTGGAGTCTGGATCTTTCCCCCCCCGAGTAATTACGCTATGCTAATCCTGCCCCCTCGTGCACTTCCCACGACAGAAACAAGGATTCCCAACTGTTCGCATGTCACACAGTAAGGTGAAGGGGGAAATATGCGTGAATTAATGTGTTGTTTTTGCACCCGTGGAAAACAAGAGCACATACTCTGTTTTATTCTGCTGTGGGGACGGCGAGGGGGAAAGGCTCAGCTGGAGCTTGTAGCCGTGTTTCCTGAGACGGGTTCGGATGCAGGTCAGGCCACCTTGAACTCCTCAGCTGGATTTATGGTGTCGAAGGTGGACAGGGTCAGGTCGCCCCAACCCCTCCCCCTTCTCCTTCAGCACAAGGACTTTGTTAGCGTCGGACAAGCAGCGGACACTGGCAGCACAGACAAATCCCTGTCACGCTCACTGGAGAAAACCCTGGTGGGATCAGAGGTCATTTGTTTAGACGGGGGGCGTCCCTGTGGCATGACCTGAATACTGATTGATTTTCTTCAGTGGGAGTCGAGGGAGGGGTGGCGCTGCCTCGTCAACTAAGATATTACAGAAAATGTTTCCAACTTTAATTGACAGCATTTATTTGAAAAGTGGTCTCATCAACACATGAATACTACTGTGCAATATATTTAAGAAGTACAATATAAGACAAGCACAAGTTTCATTTGAGGGCCGATTCAAAATGACCCCTGGGACGTAGTTTGGACACCCCTGCCCTACCCCGTGTGGCGTCACAGAGTGAGGGGGAGAGACACTCCGAGTCACAACATGCCCGACTCTCTGCTTCACCGGGCACCTCAGCGGGCGTGTGTTTTCACTTTCTCTGAAACAAGACACTCGACCACATGTTTTCCTTTTAATAGACAGCTGAGAGGAGGAAAGGGCAGCGGTGTGGTCTGTCTGCCAGATGATCACCGGCTGTTGATGTTGCATTCGGGTTGAAGGCACTCCCCCAGTTCCTCTGCTAGATTTTCACAATGGCCATTATATATAAATCAACCAATAGGTGTTTTACAGGCTTGAAGCTAAGGGCAAACTTATTGCTCATACCGGCAGGGTGTTAGCCGTGCAGCTTTGATCATCATTTGCATGTGTAATAACAACCTTCCACTAACCAAGTTCACCATCAGTCACCATACAGGTCCTACAGGTTTTAGACGGAGGCTGTATTTGCATTAAAAACAAAGGCCAGTGATATCAAACATTACCCAAAGTCCATTTAAATATCCATGACGGATAATACACTGAGGTTGTGGTTCAGCTGAGTCCTAACATATGCGTCGTAGTATATTCTTTTGAGGTGCATTCACTCTTTGTTTCCACCAAATCCAGTCTTTTATAGTCCAGCCGATCTGTTTGTTTACAAGCTCTTCTGTCTGACTGAATTGCAGCGATGTTGCTCTGTTCCTATCTCAGTAGTTACTTTAATGAATTCAGTGTGATCATGCCCAGTTGGTACAAGGCTCTAAGCTGGGAAACACATTCCACTAATAAGACAGCAGGAATATAAACACAAGAACAATGGCACACTGAAGGCCTTACAAAATGTCAGCAATACAGAGGAATAGATGCAATTAATAATGATAACATTGTGTAAAAGTAATAAAATAAACTGCATAAATCACTGTTTTTAGCCTTGAAATGAATATGTATTGTTGCGCATGAATTTATAGAGCATTGCACTTTAACTTAATTGTCTTCTTCCAGAGTAAGTGTTTCGCTTTTTGCCAGTAAGCCAGCCACTAAATTAGAAAGGATCGTGTTTTCTCAATATGGCTCGGAGGTTTGACTTTTTCCAGATTTGCTGACGTATGGTGATATTTGAGCAGCGATCTAGGGCTCACATGGGTCTGATTTTGATGAGTTTCCAAAGGACAACTGTAATTATTAATAAGAAGTGTGCCCTCATCCAGTATCTGCAATGGCTGGATGGCATTAAAATGTCTCAGATCTCCTCAAGTAAAATAGAAACAAGGTCACAGGACTGAAATGGAGAATTCATCATCACATACACATCTGAATTATCCCTATCAGTGTGGCGGGGATCTTTGAGGCTGACTTTTTCCAGCTTGAACAGGCATAAAACTTCAGAGGCTTCATCGTGCTCTTTCAATAAGACCCCTGAATAAAGACATTTGCAAGTCTGATCCAAACTGACTTCACTGAATCCATAACATAGCAAACATTATACGTTTCAAAGCTAACTTCCTAACATATTTTGAACTTTGCAACCTTTTGTTTTTAATCCAAGAAAATGCCTGAGATTGATTTGATTACCGTTTCTTAGATACAGATTTCCAAATGTACTACTTTAACCTATTTTACATTAATTTCAATTTCCACATCTCATACAACCAGGAGAGTAAAGTATCAACAAGCTAATATTCCTGTGGCCACATCATTATTTGACTAATTAAGGCTGACTGAGAAAATTAACAATTGAGTGCTACTAAGAAAAGTTACCAAGCAAGAAGTTTGTGTAACGTAATGATCCTGGGAGGCGTGTGGTGCAGTGGGTTGTGCGTTGGTGTTGGGATCAGGGGGTCACAGGTTCAAATCCCACTGCAGTCAGCATGTCGTTGTGTCCCTGAGACACTTCACCCCAAACTGCTCCTGTGGGGATTGCCCACAGTATTGAGTATGTAATGACATGTAATGTAATCCTGAGCTCTGGAAGATCTCAAACTAACTTCATATGCTATGATATGTTATATGCTATAACATATTTTGAACTTTGCAAACTTGCTGCACTGAGACCTGCTTGATTACTTTGTCTTGGATATAGACTAGGGTTGCCAGAAACTGACCATGATCAAAGTACTACATCAAAGTGTAGTGTGATGCAGCAGCAGTCTGCTCTGCACGCAGGCTTCCTCCAAGTTTACAGTAAAACAAACTGGTGGTGTGACCAATGGCCATTTACAATTATTAATACTATTACTATTATTAGCGTTAGTCTATATTTTGGTTGAAACTAAGCCAGAAAAAAAAAAAACATAAATAATAATAAAAAAATATATAAATAAAATCGATNCACCTGTGGATTTGTTTTATGTTTTCCAAATAACATAATCTTTGTTTTGCTTATATTTAATGATAATTTGTTTGTGTCAAACCAATGTTTTACTTTAATAATTTCTGCTGTTATCACTTCCATTAGCTCTTTCAAATTGTCACCGGAACAAAAAATATTAGTATCATCTGCAAATAAAATAAATTTCAATATATTTGATGCTCTGCAAATGTCGTTGATGTATATTATAAACAACTTGGGACCAAACACAGACCCCTGAGGTACTCCACAAGTTATGTTCATGTATTCTGATTTATGTTCACCAATTTCAACAAATTGTTGTCTGTTGCTTAAATAATCTCTCACCCAGTCTAATCCCACCCCTCTGATGCCATACCGTTCCAGTTTTGTCAGTAAAATATTGTGATCTATGGTGTCAAATGCTTTTTGTAAGTATATAAATATTCCCACTGCTTGTTTTTTATTGTCAATGCAGTTTGCTATTTCTACACTTAATTTCATTATTGCCATATGTTGATCTATCTTTCCTGAATCCATATTGACTGTCGTCCAAAAGCTGATGTGTTTCCATGAAATTGTCAAGTCTTTTTGTAAAAAGTTTTTCAAGGATCTTGGAAAACTGAGAGAACAATGAAACCGGTCTGTAATTTGTGTAATGGTATTTATCCCCAGTTGTACATAATGGTATAACTTTTGCTATTTTCATTTTATTTGGGAATTTACCAGATTGAAAAGACAAGTTAAAGAGATTTGTCAATGGTTCTGCAATTTCTTCAATAATGTTTTTTACAATAATCATATCAATATTTTTCCAATCGGTCGAGGATTTGCTTTTAGATTTTCGCACAGTATCTATGATTTATTTTTCTTCGACTGGTGTGAGGAAGAAAGAGCTATCGTTTGTATTCCAGACGAGAAAAGTAATTCATTTTGTCATGGTTTTCCCTTGTTTTCAAACAGTATGTATTGTTCGGATATCTTTTAGGAGCCCAAAGCAGAGACTAACACTAGTAACGTTTAAGGTGTTTAATAAAGAAAGCAAGGAAAAGGCATGTAATGAAGGCAGGGAGCTGGCTGGTTGCAGAGAAGGTCCCCACAAAGCAGACGTCCCAGGCAAAAATACAAAAAGTTGCACAAAACACTGCAATCTGGAAAAACAAGGCTTAGGCTGCAGAGAGGCACTCTGGATCGTCCAACAGCATTTTATTATCTGGCAGAGTAGTGGGGTGAGGGCCAGGCTCTTAGAGAGAAGGTTGATAAGGTGAGTGGGAACAGGTGTACCTCATCTGCAGCCAGGAGAGTACCAGCCCCGCCCCCTGTCACTCAGCAGCCCTGCAGAGAAGGAGAAACAGAAGCCCTTTCTCAATTCTAATTTCCCCTCCTCGACTCCTAGGCTGCAGTTGAACAGTCCAAAAATCAGCTATTATCGTCTATTTCTATCGTCTATTCCTTGACCTCTGTGTGAAACTTCACGGGGTTAAGGAATAGTGGATAGGAGAATTCTAAAGTATTTAGGAGAAAGGACTGCGGTGCTTTGAGAATCCGACTGCACTTTCACTATCCAACGTATTTATGATGCGCCAGCGGACGTCATGAATGTGCGTCTGCTGCTGTGGGGAAACTACAGTTTTTTATACAGCGGACTGCATGGATGTATAATAAGAACGGTGGACTACTGTAAACAAATCTAGATACTCTGCACCGTGCTCTTGTGGTGTTGTTTTATGCTTTATGAACGTGGACAACAGAGAAACAAATATTTTTCATGAACAAGGTTGTAATTGAAATAAAAAAGGAAAGTAAAACGCATGCTCGTCACCCTCACCCTCCGGTCCACATTAAAGGGGACTTATCATGCAAAATGCAATTTTTGATGTCTTTTATACATAAATATGTGTCCCCGGTGTGTCAGGGAACCCACGCAGCATCAGAAAATAAAACCTTCTCTCTTTTCCTCCGTACCCAAATCTCTAAAAACGGGGGAACAACGGAGCTGATCCAGATTTGCGTCCGATATGACGTAATATCTGA